GACATCTTCTAGCCAACCCCTCCCACCACCCTCTCCTTGATCAGGGAGTACAGCAAACATATTCAGCACCGTTTCCCACCATGAGATCCAAGTGTGAGCCCAGCGAGAGTCAACATGGATATACCAAGGAGTTGAGACAGCCTCCCTCTCCCATCAGGGGGAGGAGGGGCTAAGATTGACTTCTCTTACCCTGCCCAGAAAGCTAATCTCCAGAGGAGAGTGTGGCCCGGGACATAACCAAGCCCCAGGGAGACTGTGCCACGGGTGAGCAGAGAAGGGCCGAGATGCAGGGATGCGCTCACCCAGCACACTGACGAAGGCATTGGCTAGCAGGTAGCCGTGCTCGTTGGAAGTGTTGCACTGGTACACGGCCCTGCTGCTGATCTGGGTGTCTCGGAAGATGATGGTGTCCCCGGCTACCTCACGGTTTGGGTTGGGTGGTGCCGCTACAGATATGAGAGAGATGATCCTTGTGAGAAATGGGGGAGGGCAAGGTGAAGGGCACTTGGGGCTTTGGCCAGGGCTCCCAGCAAAGCTGGGGAAGAAGCAGCCCTGGGTGGGTCCCACAAGACCTGGCCGGCTCTGGCCACACCACTGGCCACACCACTGCCGAGCTGTGTGACCTTGGGCCCATCACCGAACCTACTGGAGTTTATTTCTCAATCTGTCTAGTGGGAATATGAATCCCTGCTTGACCTACATAACAGCTCGGCAGGCGTGGTTGAGAGTATAAGCTTTGGAAACAGAAAAGGGTTTGAATTCTAAACACATCACCCTCCAGCATTATTCAATCCCTGTAAGCTTCAGTTTCCTTGTCTGCAGAATGGGGATTAGGTATAACCTCATGGGGTTTTTGTGATGATAAACCAAGATTTCATGCATGTATAAAGTGATTAGCAGCAGGTCCAGCCATATTGTTTATCGCTGTTACTATCATTTTAACCTAATGTGCATGTACTAAAATTGTCTTGAAAAGGGTAAAGCAATATACAAATGGACGGGAACTACCACCCTTTCATCCTCTGAACAGAACATTCTCTGAACCGTTACAAAGTTAAACCCATAAGCCAATGCCTGTTGAAAACTTGAGAGTCCTTATATTTGCCAAAGCTCCCTGTTCTTCCCATGAAATGTATTCTAAAGTGGGAGAGAACGTTCTTCCCACAGGTCTCCCGGTACTGCTGGCCTGGGATGCAGAGAGCAGAGACTGGGGACTGGCTGTGGGTATTGGTCCTGTCCTCACATCGCTCTGGGGTCTGGAGCAAATCAATAAACCTTTTTGGGCTTCATTTCCTTCATCTGTAAGATAGGGAAGAATCCCTCCCATCTTTTCTTTTTTTTTTTTCCTTTTTGTCTTTTTTCGTGTCCGGCAACGGATCGCAACCC